GTCCTGGTCTCGGTCCAGGCAGCAACAAATAAACACCACTGACATCACAGATCCTCCCTCCTAGAGTGGTGGAAGGAGAGAAACTGATAGGAAGTGAAAAGTAACTTGGTTGGGGAGTGCACTGTCGAGGGTGGGCTGAAGCACTGTAGCACTGTCCTCCCGTTGTTCATCAGATTTGCTTGAGCGGGCACCAGTAACGTCTCCATTGTGAGATTTGTTACTGTTTTTGGCATATCGAATACTCCATGGGGAGCTTGCCAGGCTCTGCTGTGCGAGTGGGATACTCTCGGTAGCTTGCCAGGCTCTCCGAGGGGGTTGGAGGAATCAAACCTGGGTTGGCCGTGTGCTATCGCTCCAGCCCTGGCTGAGAATAAGGCAGAAAAAGATGGCAGAGGGTAGGAGCTATATTTTATTTAATTTATTTATTTATTTGTTGCTTTTTGGGTCACACACAGCGATGCACAGGGGTTACTCTTGGCTCTGCACTCAGGAGTTACTCCTGGTGGTGCTCAGGGGACCATATGGGATACTGGGAATTGAACCCGTGTCGGCCACGTGCAAGGCAAACGCCCTACCCACTGTGCTATTTCTCCAGCCCCCAAAGAGCTATATTTTAAACCAGCACCCTCTTCTATGCTGATGACAGCGTTATTTATTCACAGTTACGGAAAAGACCCAGTGTCTGATGATGAATCAATAGATAAGAAAATGTGGCCTAAACATAGAAAGGAATATTATTTAACCATATCATAAAGACTTGTAGAGGCTAGTGTGAGATAGTGCAGTGAGTATGGTGCTTGCCTTGCACACAATCCACCCCGGGGTTGATCCTCAGCATTGTATATGTTCCCCTAGCACTGCCAGAATTGAGTCCTGAGCATAGAGACAGGAACAAGTTTTGAGCATCATCAGGTAGGATCCGCAAACTAAGAAAAACAAAGAAATAACATAGTAGAGAAAAAGAAAAAGCAAATCCTGCTATTATGACAATCACGATCACGATCACAATCCTCCCGTTGTTCATCGATTTGCTCGAGTGGGCCCAGTAACATCTCCATCATGAGACATGTTGTTACTGTGTTTAGCATATCGAGTATGTCACGGGTAGCTTGTCAGGCTCTGCCGTGCGGGCGAGATACTCTCGGTAGCTTGCCGGGCTCTCCGAGAGGGATTATGACAATAAGGTTAAATTATGCTAAGTGAAATAAGCCAGATACAGACAAATACTGCAATATCTGGAATCGAAAATAGACTTGAGAATTAAAGTGTGGGGGGAACAAGGGGTGCGGGAGAGGGAGTCAGGGATTGTGGGGACGATGATGATTGAATTCTGGGGAATATAATATATAATGACATGAAAATAAAGGATATTGTCAAGAAGGTAGATGATTATCAACAAAAATAAAATAAGCAGTAGTTAGCGAAGATAGTTTATGTACAATCTCCACTAGGAAAGGGGACAGGGGTACGCTCAATGGGCAGCAAGGTTAATGAAGAGTAATGAAGAGAGCAGGGCGGACTCTCAATGCATCTGAGAATGCAGACAATCAGATTTACTAGTACGATGGGATGTGGGGGATAAAAGAAAGGGACCAAGTTTTCACTATATGCACATGTGCACGCATACACATTTATGTTTTAAAGTTTAATATTATCCAAGGTAAAGGTAAGGTAAAGGCCCTCCCGTTGATCGTCGATTTGCTCGAGCAGGCCCAGTAACATCTCCATTGGAGACTTTGTTGTTACTGTGTCTGGCATATTGAATTACTTGCTTTTTTCTTTTCTGTCTAGCTCAGAGGTCTGTGATGGGAGGGGGTTCTTAATCTTATCCATTGCTTACATACACCTTCTAGAATATTCTCTCTCTCTCTCTCTCTCTCTCTCTCTCTCTCTCTCTCTCTCCCCCTCTCCCTCTCTTCCCCCTTCCTCCCATGCATTGAGGATATATTTATTTTTCAATAGTACATTTTAAGTTTGATAGGCCACACCCAGCTCTGCTCAGGGCTTATTCCTGCTCTGTACTCAGGGATTATCCCTAGGGGACTCGGAGGACTCTGTGTGGTGCCGGGGACGGAACTCGGGTGGGCAGCAAATCATGCAAGCACCTTACTCTGGACTCGCTCACTGACCAATAGCACATTTTTAACTACAGAAAAGCAACAAACTTTGCAGAATGCACATAAGTGAGCTACAAATTAAAAATTGCTGATAAGATTCTCGTGCAGAGGTGAAAGATTCTACAGCCAGAATAATGTCGATACCGAGGCAAGCTAAAGAATGTAAAGGGTCCATAATCACGTATCTGAAGCCTTTCGATGGCCTGTAAGATAAGTGGGGTCACATGGAGCCCAAATAGACTTGCTTCTGATTTTGCCTTTCAAGGACACCTTTGGGACCAGCTCTCAGCCCAAAGTCAACTCTCCTGCCTCTAACTTCACTAATCACCTTGGCTCTTAGCTCTGTTTGAACCTCCTCCCCTCCTCCCCAAGAGGCACTAGTTTTCTCTAGCTGGAGCATTTAAACATTTTTATTTATTTTACTTCTTCTTCTTCTTCTTCTTTTTCTTTTTTTTTGGGGGGGGGGTCACCTGGTGGGGCTTGGGACTCACTCCTGGCTCTGTGCTCAGGGATCATTCCTGGACGAGGGGGGTTCTGGGAACCATATAGAGTGATTGACTCATACGAGATTGACTGGATACGAGGCAAGCACCATTCCCACTGTATTACCTCTCTGGGTCTTCGGGACATTTTTAAAAAAATCAAAATCGCTATAGTGTATGGCATTCATTAACCGTGCCTATGTTTGCTGTCTACTAGATTAAGCAAGGCATGTTTACTTCTACCTTACTAAGACATTTTTATACATTTTCAATAATGAATTAACATCTTATTTATATTGGTCAAAATCACTTAGCAATCAGTCATCGCAAACTGACTTTTATTGATTTATTCTCTTTGCCATTCCTTTAAGTTTTGTTAGAACAAGTAATATGAAATAAATTTGTTATATGCCTGCCAAGGGACAGGAGGGAACCTGGGGACATTGATGGAGGGAGGGGGACACTGATGGTCAGGTTGGTGTTGGAACATCATTGGTGTTGGAACAACTTATTATGGACAACTTTGTAAAGTATAATTATTATCTTTACCCACTGTAGTATTGAAGCACTGTCCTCCTGTTGTTCATCGATTTGCTTGAGTGGGCCCAGTAACATCTCCATTGTGAGACTTGTTGTTACTGTTTTTGGAATATTGAATACATCACGGGTAGCTTGCCAGGCTTTGCCTTGCGGGTGAGATACTCTCAGTAGCTTGCCGGGCTCTCCCAGACAGGCAAAAGAATTGAACTTGTGTCAGCCCGATCGGCCACATGCAAGACAAACGCCCTACCTGCTGTGCTGTCGCTCCAGCCCCTAATAAAAATTAAAAGAAAAAAAATTGCCCGAGTTAGGACTGATGGAATATCATTATTTATGCAAGTATAATGTGCCTTTCACTTAGTTCTGGTTTTTTATTATTATTTATTATTTCATTCTTTCAGTGAGCCCAGAGTCAGGGGTGCAACCCTGCACTCACCAACGCAAGACAGATACACCCCCATACTGTGATACCATAAGTCACACCCTCAACCCCAGCGGGTTTGTTATTAAAAGCAAACTTAGAGAGCAAACTACTCCCAATGTTTCCGGGGGGGGGGGGGGGGCAGATAAGCCGCAAATAAGGCAACAGCCTTTCAATGAGTCCCAGGCCCCACATCCCTGATCTACATCTCCAAAACCAAAAATGCTGGCCAAAGAACAAATCTTCAAGCAACTCCCATGGGAAGCAAAGACCCACAGGAGCTGCTGTTTCCATTTTGCCGAGTTTTTGGAAGTGGGAGCACCAGAAGTTCATCAAATGGTCCACCGGGTCCACGGCGCCCAGTGAGAATGTTCATGCTATGAGCCCAGCCGCGCACCATATGTAACATCAGCATTCAGGCGTTTTTCTCAGAATTCTGCTTTCTATAGCTCATCTGGCCACACAGGGTTTATGTAAGCCACTAGTCTACTAGTTTTCTCTTTGGGGCTAACCCAGCTAGCGTCATCCTTCTTGCATTTTTTTTTTTGTGTGTGTGGGGGTGGATGGTTACTCCTAGTTTGGTGCTTGGGGCTCAGTCCCCATGGTACTCTGAGGGACGGTGCGGTTGTGCAATGCATGCTTTAACCTCTGTAAAGAAGTGAGGCTAGGGCGGGTGTGGAGCTGGCGAGATGGGGCGGCGGGTAGGGCACTTTCCTTGTGAGAGGCTGACCAGGGGTTCATCCTAGCACCAATGAGGGCCCCAAGCTCTGGCAGGAGTGATCTTTGTGCGCGCCCCTTGACCGACTCCAGGTGAGGACACCAGCTGAGTTTTATGGTAAAATGGCAATGAGGTGTGTTGGGGGCGGAGGGGGTGGTGGTGGGTTAATTATAAAGACTCTGATTCTTGATGCTGTTCCAGAAAACACCCAAGTTACAGGCACAACCAGGCTCTCTTCGCTGAGAGCCTCCAGGCCAGGAGAAAGGCTCTCATTGGCCATGCTCCCAGGCCACCCAAACATGCGGAGAGGAGGGGGGCCACAGACTCCGCCCAAGTTCCAGGGGCATGGAGTTGGCTCCAAGGACTTCTGGTCAACCTGGGACAGCAGGCCGGGAGCTTCAAAGGGCGCAGGATAGAACTGGAACCTCCTCCCACCTAGGTGCTGCCTCCGGACGGCCCGTGCCTCCGGCCAACCAACCGGGATAGGAATTGGACACTCAGGGTCTGGGTGAAAAGGAGCCGGTAAGCGCTAGGGGAGAAGTTGAAGAATCCAGAAAGTATAAACTCAGGGGAAGGGCCGCAGCCGCCGACCCCCGGCGCTTTCCGCCGGCGTCCGTGAGTCCGGGGCCCGAGGGGTTGCCGCCGCGCGCCCCAGGACCCGCGCCTCTCGCTGGGCAGCGAGAAGGGGAAGGCGGTGCGTCCAGCGGCCCGGGTCCGGGGTCATGACCGAGGTCGCGGAGCAGAACGGGGGCGCCCCGGGGGCCCAGGGCCCGCCGGACGTGCGGGAGCCGCAGGTGGGGGGCGCGGAGCCGGAGGCGGAGCGGGAGGAGGCCAGCACGGACGCCCCGGAGGCGCTGGGGGCCGAGGGGGCGGGCGCAGCCGCGACAGCAGCGGGGCAGGAGGAAGGAGGCGCCTCTCCGGACGGAGGGAGCGGGACCGGCCACCCAGGAAGCGGGACACCGGGAGCCGAGGGTTCCCAGGCCGAGGCCGAGGCGGGCGAGGGCGCCCCGGAGGAGGCGCAGGGCGGGGAGCGGGTGCAGGTGCAGGAGGCGAGCCTCGGAGAAGCTCCGGGGGAGCCCGGGGAGCTCGGGGAGCCCGGGGAGCCGGAGAGCGTGTCCGAGGGTCCGGGAGAGCGCGCGCCCGGGGTGGACATGGACTCGGAGGGGTCCGCGGGGTCCGGCGGAGTCGCCGAGGGGCCGTACGAGGAGGGCGAGCCCGGGGACGCGGGAGATCTCCGTCCCCAGCCCCAAAGCCAGGCGACCGAGGAGGAGGAGGAGAAGGAAGAGGAGGAAGTGGTGGCAGAGCGCGCAGCGGGGGACGCGCCCGAGGAGCTTTCGGGGGCTGCGGACGGGGAGGGCACGCCCGAGGCGGGAGGGGAGGCGAGCGCAGACGCGGGACAGGACAGGGACCAGGGGGGGACCCCTGAGGAGATGCCGGAGGCTGAGGTCCCCGAGGGGCCTGGCCAGGAGGAGGAGGAGGAGAAGGAGAAGGAGGAGGAGAAGGAGGAGATGCCTCCCGAGCGCAGCCCCGACGGGGAGGACGCGGCTGCTGAGCCTGAGGCGCAAGTCAGCAACCACTTGGCGGAGGAGCGCCCCGGGGAGTCCGCGCCGGCCAACGGGCCCCGGGCAGAGGACAACGGGGCGCAGGAGGAGGGCGCTCCCGGCCAGGAACACGACATCACCCTCTTCGTGAAGGTAGCGCACCCCCAACCACGTCCCGACTCCCCTCAGCCCGCGCGCATCGCGGTGGTCACCAACCCCGCGCTCCTGTTCGAAGCGCGGGGCCCCGCGGCCCGGAGATGCATTTACTTTACTGGAGGGCGAGTTTGTGGAGGATTTAAGGGGCGGGGAAGCTTAAACTGCAGGTCGTGCAGCACCCTTGGTGAATATTTTTTAAATGAACTCCATGTCTTTAATATTAATAGCAGACAGAAAGTCAGGTTCCGGTTAGTGAAAAAAATCTCTCCAATGCGCTCAACTTAAAAGGCACGCTACGGAATGGGAGGAAATATATGCACACATTTACTTATTACATCAGATTAAGTGCTGAAAAACTTGTGGATTTTTTTGTGGGGGGGGGGGGGGGGGAGACGCGCACTTATCAGGGCTCAGGGCTTACTCCTGGCTCTCTACTGGGCAGTTACTCCTGCCTGGTACCCAGAATGGAACCTGGGTCAGCAAGGCCATCTACTGTTTCTTGTACCTGCAACTGAAATTTCTTTTCTTTTCTTTCTTTTTTTTTGGATGGTGGGCAGGGGGAGAAGGGCACACCTGGCCGTGATTCAAGCCTTACCCCTGGCATTCAGGGGACCATATGGGATGCTGGGAATCAAACCCCGTCTGCCCAGTGCTATCACTCCAGCCCCACCTGTCCTGAAAATCTTAACTGAAAATCTAATCTTAATCTGTTCTGGAGATTAATTCAAGAATTCAGGTTTAAAAAAAAAACAAACAAACCACAGGCCCTAGGGAAGCTCAAAGCCATTTCTACTCTACCCCAAGGAGTTCTTGTGTTTGAAGGGAAAAAGGTGGAAAGGTGGTGTGTGTGTGTGTGTGTGTGTGTGTGTGTGTGTGTGTGTAGGGTGTGTATGTGAGAATGTACCCTTAGATTCAGAACTGGACACAGGTTTTAACTGGGTCAAGGTATTACTTCTTTTTGGTAGGCTCTGGGGGGGTGTGATTTGGCAGGTAACCGAAAGTTTACTTTAAATAGTACATAATATTTAGGGACCATTGCAGCTTTCAGCTGTTTTGAGAGACCAGCGATGGGATTTGGGGGGTATGGGGTGGAGTTTTGAGTGAAAATAGATACTTCTACAAGTTACTGAAATAAGGGGCAGCAGCTCTGTGGGGGAGGGGAGGCATTTTTAAAAATGTCCTTTTGAGGACTTTTTAGTTGGGCAGGGAAGGGGAAGATAATCGGGTTAAGAATGTGCGTCGCCCATTGATTGGTAAGCCTCCCAAACACTTGCAGCTTGGTTTCAGAAACTTGGGCACTGTAAGCCACTCCTACTAAGCCCAAGTAAGAAATGTCCCCACAGCAGAGTATACCTGAATGCCAAGAACCATTTGTGACCAGAGCGTGGGAAAGGACACGCATCTCCTGATCCATGGAAAGGTTCCTGGCAGCTGTTCAAACCCGGGGGCATTCTTAGGGGATGGGACCACCCCTCTGAAGGCAGGAGTCCTAGAACATCCCTTGGAGCGGGCAGTCTTGTGGAAGAGGGGGGAGGAATTCACCCCGTGGTGCGTGGGTGTTTGAGCCCCTAATCTGGTTTCAGACATTCCCCACGGCTCTGATCTCAGGCTACAGGACCCCAGAGCCATTAGTGCAGCCTCTGTTCCAATTTTGAAGTATTGTGACAGCTTCCCAGCTTGTCCCGCCACTGTCTGTCACTTGCACTCTGGTTTATTCACCATAGCCAGCGAAATTGGAAAAGAAGTGGAATCCTTTTGCCCTTTCTGGTTATTAAAAAAAAATTTGGGGAGGGGGGTCTGGAGCGATAGCACAGCAGGTAGGGTAGGGCCTTTGCCTTGCATGCGGCTGACCCGGGTTCGATTCCCAGCATCCCATATGGTCCCCAGAGCACCGGCAGGAGTAATTCCTGAGTGCAGAGCCAGGAGGAACGCCTGTGCATCGCTGGGTATGAACCCCCCCCAAAGAGCAAAAAAATATATTTTTAAGTTTGTTTTTCAAGTTCATGGCAGAATTTCAGCTGATTCCATGCTCCTTTGCCAGGCCAGAGGGTCTTTCTGATGCCATTCATGTAGTCCCTGGCTGTCCTAGCCTCATTCATTAAATATATATATCATTCATTTATATAATATATATATATGATCAAGTGATGATATATATATATATATCATTCATAATATTGTCATGTCAGTTAATTCACTCTTGTCTGCCTTGAAATTCTGTGTGAGGGCAGGAGTGATAGAACAGCTGGGAGGGCATTTGCCTTGCATGCGGCAGAATCAGATTCCATCCCCGGCTTCCCTTAGGGTCCTCTGAGCACTGCCAGGAGTGATTTCTGAGTGCAGAGCCAGGAGTCACTCCTAAGCATCACTGGAAGTGACCCCAAATGCCAAAAAGCCAAAAAGCCCCCCCCCCCAAAAAAAAGAAAAGAAAAGAAAAGAAAAGAAAGAAATTCTGGGTGAGTTGTATTCTCTGCTTGCGCTAAGTTCTACCCTCCACCCCGGACCCCTTCCCTGGTCCCCTGCCTGGTTATCTGTGACCGGTCCAAGACTCAGGGCGGGCATCATGTTCTCTGGGCAGCGTTGAGTGTCCACCCTTCTGTGGAGACTCACTGACACAGGTCCTGCTCTCCTGCTATTGGACTCTTCCCTGCACTGTGTGAAATCTGTCATGCTGTCTTCCCTTGGGAGTCCAGGTCTGGACAGGATAAAGAACCAGTGACTCTCTGCATGCAGTAGTGGTATGGGGATCGAGAACATGGGCTTGAGAGCTCAAAATCTTTCTTGCTGGGCTACATTCTTGCTGTGAGACCTTTGGCAAAGTTACTTAACCTTTCAGTGTTTTTGTTGCTTCTGGGTACAATGGGGACAACAATAGGGCCCTGTGAAGTTATTGCGGGAATTTAAGAATTGATGCTAGAAAACACTTGGAAAAACACCTAGCTTGATAAAAAGCACTGGATAAGTATGAATTTTGTATTTTTTTTCTTAAAGCTTTTGGGGTCACACTGAGTGGTGCTCAGGATTTACTCCTGGCTCTGCTCTGGGGGCGGGGGGGCGGTCATGCCTGATAGTGGTCAGGGAAACGTATGGTGCCAGGGATGAAACCAAAGTTGGCCTCATGCAAGGCAAAGGCCATACTCCGTGTATTATCTCACCGGACCCTAACCAAGAGCTTTTATGGGTACATCTGCTCAGCAACCATAAACATAGACTGATTTTGCACAGAATCAATCCAATTCCCACCCATCACTGCTTTTTCTTTTTTTCTCTGCAAATCCTAAGTAGCTCGATTCTTTGGGGAAGAATGCTAGCAAAACTGAAGCAAGTTGTCTCCAATCCTGCTTGGTAGTAGAATGTATAGGTAGAAGTGATAAGCCTGTGATGAATTCTATCCAGAATGTTCTACCCTGATGACTAATTTGAGGTTGTTATTGCCCTCCCCTTCCTTTTTATTCCTTAGGGGAAAAAAAACCAAAGCAGATTTACAGATGGATTAATTTTCAGTAATGACCGAAACTTTGACACACCTAAGGGTCTCTGAAGACGCATTTCATATGTTTGTTGGCACGTATCACTTTCTTTACATCCACTTCACTTTTCTCTCTCTTTTCTTTCTTATTTTGGGGCCACACCTGGCAGTGCTTGCTGGGTCCTGGGGATCAAAACTGGGTCAGCCGGGTGCCGGGCAAGTGCCTTCCCTGCTGTAATCTCTTCAGCCTCACTATATTCTCTTTAGAAGCAAAAGACTAAAGAGAGAAATCAAGCAAAAGCTATACAATCTAGTCTATCTTTTGAGTTATAATATAATAATAATATATAATATAATATATATTATAATATATAATAATATAATAGATTTATTTGCTAGATTTTTCTTTTCAGCCTCCTTCTTTCAACTCTCCTGTTTTTGGATTTTGTATCCAAGCATGGGCAATTGACTTCCTTGGTTTTGTCAACATCTTGTCGTGGGGTTCCCATGCTGCTACCTGAGTGTAGAATCCACAGAGGTGACCCCTAGGGAGAGTGTTAGAATATCCTTCCACAATCTCCGTTCCCCCCACTCCGCCTCCTTCATATGAGAATGTAGTAAATGCGTTACAATTTTGGCTTTTTATATTCTTTTTTTTCTTTCATTTTGTTTTGGGGCCACACTCAACTGTGCTCAGGAATTACTCCTGGTGGGGCTCTGGGGAGCATATGCTATGCCAGGATCAAATCTGGTCAGCCTCATGCAAGACAAGCATCTAACCATTGCACTATCTCTCTGGCCCCTCCTAGATCCTGTTTGTGAACTTTTCACTTTTACGTATTTTCTCCACTTAAAAAAATAAAGATGATGGTTACAAATCTATCAGAAACTATTTACTTACAAACCAGCAACATATCCTAATAAAGTCTGCTTCTATTTGTAGTTATTTCATATTTACTGTTGCCCAGCTTTATGAGAATTGTCATTTATTGATTTGCCCTTTTGTTTGGTACATAGACAGGAAGTTATTCTGGGATTCAGAAGAGTCAGAAGCCTATAGAACCAGCCAAGAAATGCTTCCTTGAATTATTGTGTAGTATATTCATTGCTGACCCTGATAAATTTGAGATTTGCTTTCCTCAAGAATTGTTAATTATTTATCACCAAAGTATAGGGCAACTCTACAATATATTTAGTTATAAGATTCTTCTGTACCCATAACAAAGGGTAGCAACATGATCACACGATCAGATGACAAACAAAATATTAACTTCCATGGGTGAAGGAAGAACCACAGCCCTGGGAAAGCCCAGTCACCGAGAAAGAAAATTTCTCTGATGGGTTTGGTGCTTTGAACCACCTTGTAAGCTGAGGCTGGGTACAGGGGTATGGCAGTTTAAGAGATGAATTTCCTGGTGAATTTCACAAGACCCCCCAAACCCTTCAAAATGACCAGAGAATCATCCTGGGTTAAACACTTAAGAATTTCTGAAATGGCATTTTGGACACCAAACCTCTTAGTATTTAC